ATATGAGCAAAATTTTAGTTTTAAATTAACCTCTAACTATTATTTTAGTATAATGTCACTTGGGAACTAAAATACTCAATATTAATTAATTTAGATCAACTTTTTTATTTCTAAAACTATATTAAAAATCCTATAAGAAAAGGAATATTGTTGAGATCAAACAAAAAAGTTTAAGTAAAATATGAAGATTAAACAAAAGTTTGAAATTTTTAGATCTTATACTCTAATTTAAAGTATTATTTCACTTATAACCATGAAATATTTGAAAATTAGTTAAATCATTTAATTCAACTATATCATATTAGTTAATAATAGAAAATCCTTAGTTGTTATTTCTATAACAAATTAGGTCCAAATTTAATTAATTCTGAATTATTGAGCTTTATTAAAAGGTTAATAAAATAATTATTGTTGTTTTTATTCAAAAAGTTTAGAATTAAAAAATATTTATTCGTTTAGTATTCTGATGCTTGAATTAATGTAAATTTGAAGTTAAATATTAATTCAAATAAATAAATACTTATATATTTCTGCTAATTGTTCAAGTTATTGAGTCTAGTAATATTTAAAATAATTCAAAACATAGAAAAAAATGATTTTTATCTTATTTAACCTTTCTTTGCATAAACATCTTTAATGATGATTATTCAAAGAAGATATTAATAGATTAAAAAAATAAGGTTTTGAAATTTTGAACAATAAATCACAAGAAATTTTATGTCAAAAATCAATAGATGAGTTTTAAACTTTCTTTAAATTTATTCTTAAGTTTTATAATTAATGAAATTTAATTTATAAAAATAGATTTATTTATAAAGAATTAATGAAATAAATCTAAACTTAATCAGATTAAGGAAATTTAATACTCTCTTAAAAAATGAAACAATTTGTATTTAAGAATGCATAATGACTAAATTCTTGGGAGAGAAACTTTAAGTATACAATATTATAATATTTATTATAATAACCACAGTTCCTTACTTAAAATCAATAACAATAACCAAATCAAGGAAATATAATTATTATATCTTCAGAATTTGTATTCATCATAAAATATACACTATTAATTTCACTTTTAGAAGTACTTAATTCCTGCAAAGATCCAATATTATGCAAGATAAGCATCTTTGCTTTTCTTATCTTAAATGTCTCTCTAGTAAAACTTTTCATATGCGTTAAAGCTTTGTAAAAGTATTCAAGAGTCTATTTATATTTACATTCTATATTTTAAATTATCAAACTTAATTAGTAAAGAAAATCTATAATAAATTTATCAAATAAAAAGGTTTACATTTAATTTTGAAATATCAAAATAAAATTGTTGCTTTATTAAGACTTAAGAATAGGTTTGAATACTATTTTTATTTCAAAAAATCTTTTCAAGCTTAAAGCTTACTTCATTCCACAATTTAAGTTCATTACAAATCATAAATATCCTTTTTAATTAAATACATTAACGTGTTCTTGAAATTGCTTATAGAAAAACGTTGCAGTCTTAAATGAAATGATTTTAAAGTATTGAGTTTTTATAATTAAAAGTTTAGCTGAAGTTCTTTCATTTCATCTTTTAAAACAATGCAGATGTTTTAAATCATTTATATGCAATTTAGAAAGGAAAAATATTATGTAAATAAATTTCATAAATAGTTTAAATAGTTTTGTCATATTGAGAAATAAATGTTAAATTATTTTTGTTGAGAGATTGAATTTCATTTAAAAAAAAAAAGTTTTCTTCAATTAATTTTTGGAAACTAGAATTATTGCATACACTCTACTGCTAAATTGATATATGAATTCCAATAAAAATCATTGAATTAACCTTAAGAATTTAAATTAATTTAAAATAGAGTGGAAGTCTGTTTTAATTTGGAATCCTTAAATTACAATTTTTTTTATATTGGAAAGATAATGAATATGATTCATTCTCAATATCTTAATATACAGATCCTAAGAAATGAATTAATATATGGAGTATTTGATTATAGGAGATTTCCTAAACTCATTAATTATTATTTTACAAGTCCTCAATGAAGCTTGAGGGATTCATAATCATTCACATAAAGTCCCATGATAATTATTTAATTATTCAGAGATTTGAAGTAATATTAAGTAAAGTTTTTGAAAGTGTTATTGAATAGATTAAAAGACCCTTCTCTTTAATAGAGAAATCTTTTTAAATTAATAAAATCATGTATTCTTATGAATTAAATTTATAAGATACAAGTAAAAAATATAATAAAACCAGCTAATTAAATATTAAAATGAAAAAGAATTACTAACAAACATGAAGAGTATCTAATGTAAAATGAAAATAAAGATTATGATTACGTTTGTGTATAAGTTTATGCAAAAAAAACTACTTCATAATAACTGTGAATATGAATTTTCATATGATGTATTTAAAAAAGAATTCAACAAATTAAATAAGGTGAGTTTTTCTTTTTAAAAACTGGTTTCTCCAAAATAACCACTATTTTATAAAATTTTGCCAAAACAAATTTGCTCTCTTGGTTTTTATTTGTAGTTTTGTATTTTTATTGTAATATTGTTTTAACTTTGATTATTAAAAATTTCTATGTTATTCATATGATGTTAAACTTATGTTCAAACATATGGAAAAAGCAAAATATAATAATTAATTAAATAATTAGGGTAGTTCAAACATATCAGAATAAATCATTTGGTTGAAAATTTGCAAAGATTTAAGCAATAAAAACACTTTGAATTGTAATAATGTATCATAATTAATCTCAAATAAATAATAAACTCAAACTTTGATATCATCATTTATTTTGAATACTTAGATATCTTTCAATTAATTATAATTTATTCTTTGTTTATTATTCATTATATTCAAAATAAATCAATATAATGAAATATCTAATTCATAAATCTCTAAATTTGATCCTATATTGTAAGATGCTTATGCACTTAAAAGTTCTTCATAAATAATTTCAAGTAATCTTTCAAAAAATCTTCTTTTTGAAACATCTAAATGGTTTAATGGACCTTACTTACCTTTTCTTGATTAAAAATGTAAAATTGATATTGATTGTATCTTTTGAAATGCCCATCAGCTAAAGTATTGTAAATTTATTTTAATTTCTATTTTGGTCAAATGTATCTGACTCTTTTATGACCTGTTGGTATATTGAAATTTAGTTATTTTAGAATTAATTGCTTATCCAACAATTATGTTTTAATTAGAATATTATAACATATCACCTACATAATCAAAAGCGCTAAATAGTATTTTTCCTTTCAAAATTTAATAATTAAAAAAGAAGTTAAAATATAATTATAGTAATCTCTATATTTAGATAATTAATATACTGGCAGACTATTTGCAGATGAATAAGTTAAGGTCACTTTCAAAATATAGATGACTTCTCCAAAGTAATTTAGATATAATAGTTAATTAATTATTGAATACAGATATGTTGTAGAGACTAGAAGAACCTAATAAGGATATATTTGGAAAAAATTAATCTGTTGATGTAGTTTACATATACAGTGAAGAAAAAATATGTGGAATTATTAGGAGCTGCTAATTGTGAATAAGATATAGTGGTTTAATATAGAAGAGATTATAGGAAGATTGATATGAATTTAATTTATTATTTTGCTGATACTACAATTCATAAAAACAATATCTAAATTATTTTTGTAAAGGAGATTGAAATCTTAAAAGGTTCAGATATTGTAAAATTTGTTTAGGAATTGAAAAAAGTAAATTAGAAATACTTTTTATTTTGCTAGTTAAGAATAGAATTTCTTTACCAGATCATTTATTGGAAGAAATTAGAGAGATAGATTTTGATAGCATTATTGATTTTGAATAAGTTGAGAATAAAGAATAATTTAAGTAAAATTATTAAGAGAATATATATATATAGATTTATGAAATAGATGATGAATGCTTCCTAATATGAAGTAACCTTAATAATGAAATTATAGTTAACTTTAAAGATTAACTAATAAGAAATCTATAATTTGAATTATCAGAGTATTCATAAAGAGGATGATAATTAAATTATTTAATTTGTAAAATAAGAATAAAATAACTGTAAATAAGGAATTTTTACTTCAAGATTTACAGAAGATATTCTTAAATAATATTGAAAGTTAAAATTATGTTATTGGAGTGTAACTAAGAGGAATAACAATAATGAATATTTTAATAATAATACTAAGAAGCTTCTCATTAATTTTTTTAATAATTCGGAAATAGATAAGATTTACAAGACACTTTTACCTAAGATATCTTTGAAAACTTACAAAAGGTTTACGAAGACATATCTAAGAGAATATAAAATATTTAATCAAGCTTTGGAGAAATAATAAAATTAGAAGAAGTTAAAATTCTAATTGAGAGTTTTATAACGATAAGAATCTAAGTATGAAAACTTAATTAAAAAAATAATCGATGATTATGTAAATGAAATTTCCAATGATTCCCTTATTCAGATATATGTGGCTCAAAAAAAGAAGATGATGTTTTTTATTTAAAAGCATTTATTAATATTATAAAAATATTTATTATAATAATTGTAATAATAAGAAATTTAGTTTTTTTTTATTTTTATGAGCTGAAAGTTGTTGTAAATAAATAGATGGATTATAAGAATGATTACATTAATTTATTTTATTTTGTATTCATTACTTTAAAACTGTTAAACTTAAGTTTTTGCATCTCATCAATTAGAATCTAAATAGAATTAAATAACTCTCAATTTACTAGGGTTTATATAAAAACAAATCAAAAGAATTAAATGAGATTCAAAAAAAATCATTTTTTAGTTTAATATCTATAGAAAAATATATAATGATAGTAATGCTATTTATCTAACCTAGGATTTTAACAAAAAGATAGTCTTTCAAGATTTAAAATTGACATTTACAAATATTTTGAAAATAGATTTATTTTCAAAACTACTTTAGTTTTATATTTCTAAAAGTTTTCATTCTTTTTAATTATCGCTAAAGTTTAAATGGATAGAATTTTTATTAAAAAAAAGAAATCACTTAAAAATTATAGTAAAATTTTACGAAGAAGGAGCATGATAAAATACTTGAATGTAACTGTAAGAAATGGTATCTAATGTTATGAAATAGTATCATTTATATATTAAAATATTATTTTATCGATGTATATATATTCATTTTTTAGCATAATCAATTAGATTCTGGAATAGAAATCATAAAGAAATCTATTCATAATCATCTCAATTATTTATTATTCTGACATTATAAATAATAATTCTTTTTATAATTGGAATTTTATATCAATTCCACCTAGACAGTATTTTAAATACTCATTTAATATTCTAAAAGGATTATTAAAAAAAAAGAATTTAAAAACCTAAAGATTAAAACCATCAAGATTACAAGGTATATAAAATAATAATTAATTTTAATTGTGTTATTGATTCTAATATATTGGTTTTTTAAGCTTAAAGAAATATGCTCAGGTATCTAGCTTCTATTATATATTTCAGGATTTAACAAATGATATTCAAGAATAATTTTCTGGTAGGTCTTTGAACACTATTTGCTGAGTACTCAAATAACACAATAAAGTACCATCCATCCTATTTAATTTGAGATAAATAAATCTGTGGTAATCAATTCATAGAAAGAAAGTTATTATTTGATCTGTATAGCTGTTGTTTTAAACAAATCCATTTACTTAATTAAAATGATTTCGATTATAAAATAAAAGCATAAATCATAAGCAAAAGTGTTCAAAAACTTTTAAATATATAACTATACCTAATCAACAATTTATATCCTTTTTTGAATGAATATTTAGAATAAGTATGATTACCTATCAAAAATATTTAAATATAAAATCTCATTTTGAAATGCAAATTAGAACTTTAAATTAGTGATTTAGATATTAGAATTATAACAGTTGTTTTTTCAATACAAAATATTATATTTCTAATATACTTGATAAATTTAAATCCAATTTAAAGTAAAGTTTTTAATATTTAAGCAGTTTAAGAAAAAATAATTTAGTGAAATATTAAATCCACTAAGGTCAAAAATTTCTTGGTTTTGGAGAACTTTAGCCTATTTTTGATGTCTACTACCCTTTTAATATACAATAAAAAAACTAAATATATACTTTAGTAGCCAGGTTCAATTAAATTGTTTCATGCAAAAATCTATATAAATTAATCGTCATTTGATCTAAATTATATTATACAAGATGATCTAGGGGATTGCTATTTGTTATGTTTCTGATCTGCTTTGGTTGAAATTCCCTAATAAATTACAAAATTTTGAGACTTTAAAAGTATTAATAAAGTTGTAAGAGTAATACCTTAAATTTAAAATTCATACATAAAATTTTACATTTGGTATGCAATTTGGAATATACAATAGGCTATTGGAAATGATGAACAACATAATAAAATAATTAAAATAAGAAATGTATATCATTTAATGTAAAATTGAATAAGAGAAAGAGATTATCATTTAATGATTAAATTGATAGAATAATAAAAAATATTTTAAAATGATTTGCAAAAATTATATTGAAGTTATTATTAAAATTGATGAAATTCCAAAATTTGCTACAAAAAATTTTACTCATCTTTATATTGTTGTTATATGGTGCTATTAGAGAAAAAGATAATAATCTATTAAATAAAAAGCAAACTCCCAATTTATTTGAGATATATAATCAAATACAATTTTGAATTTTAATAAGAATAGATTTCCTTAAGCATATGGTTAATCAAAAGGCCAAAAAACTCTCAAAAAGTATTAAAGAAATTTGTATTTTTGTAATCCAAAATACTTTTCATCTGTTTTCTGATGGATTTAATGAAGTCATGTTATATATTTAAATAAATATGGAATTTTAGGAAATTATTGATATGAAAGATTTAAATGTAAAAAAAACTTAAGGAATATTTTATGATTTCAACATATATTTGAATATATATTTATATTCATTCTTATTGATTTAAATTGATACATTAAACTTATTTAGATGTGTATAAATACATAGCAATTCTTCTATTAATTTATTATCAGGTGATAATTAATATGCATTTTCTAAAAGTAATTATGCATCTCCATATTAACCATATTACATNTAATCAATTCATAGAAAGAAAGTTATTATTTGATCTGTATAGCTGTTGTTTTAAACAAATCCATTTACTTAATTAAAATGATTTCGATTATAAAATAAAAGCATAAATCATAAGCAAAAGTGTTCAAAAACTTTTAAATATATAACTATACCTAATCAACAATTTATATCCTTTTTTGAATGAATATTTAGAATAAGTATGATTACCTATCAAAAATATTTAAATATAAAATCTCATTTTGAAATGCAAATTAGAACTTTAAATTAGTGATTTAGATATTAGAATTATAACAGTTGTTTTTTCAATACAAAATATTATATTTCTAATATACTTGATAAATTTAAATCCAATTTAAAGTAAAGTTTTTAATATTTAAGCAGTTTAAGAAAAAATAATTTAGTGAAATATTAAATCCACTAAGGTCAAAAATTTCTTGGTTTTGGAGAACTTTAGCCTATTTTTGATGTCTACTACCCTTTTAATATACAATAAAAAAACTAAATATATACTTTAGTAGCCAGGTTCAATTAAATTGTTTCATGCAAAAATCTATATAAATTAATCGTCATTTGATCTAAATTATATTATACAAGATGATCTAGGGGATTGCTATTTGTTATGTTTCTGATCTGCTTTGGTTGAAATTCCCTAATAAATTACAAAATTTTGAGACTTTAAAAGTATTAATAAAGTTGTAAGAGTAATACCTTAAATTTAAAATTCATACATAAAATTTTACATTTGGTATGCAATTTGGAATATACAATAGGCTATTGGAAATGATGAACAACATAATAAAATAATTAAAATAAGAAATGTATATCATTTAATGTAAAATTGAATAAGAGAAAGAGATTATCATTTAATGATTAAATTGATAGAATAATAAAAAATATTTTAAAATGATTTGCAAAAATTATATTGAAGTTATTATTAAAATTGATGAAATTCCAAAATTTGCTACAAAAAATTTTACTCATCTTTATATTGTTGTTATATGGTGCTATTAGAGAAAAAGATAATAATCTATTAAATAAAAAGCAAACTCCCAATTTATTTGAGATATATAATCAAATACAATTTTGAATTTTAATAAGAATAGATTTCCTTAAGCATATGGTTAATCAAAAGGCCAAAAAACTCTCAAAAAGTATTAAAGAAATTTGTATTTTTGTAATCCAAAATACTTTTCATCTGTTTTCTGATGGATTTAATGAAGTCATGTTATATATTTAAATAAATATGGAATTTTAGGAAATTATTGATATGAAAGATTTAAATGTAAAAAAAACTTAAGGAATATTTTATGATTTCAACATATATTTGAATATATATTTATATTCATTCTTATTGATTTAAATTGATACATTAAACTTATTTAGATGTGTATAAATACATAGCAATTCTTCTATTAATTTATTATCAGGTGATAATTAATATGCATTTTCTAAAAGTAATTATGCATCTCCATATTAACCATATTACATTAAGCAGTAGGCTAAATATTTAATAAATGGATACCTTTCCCATGCAATGATTGAACATATTATGGATTGATATCAAGTGCTTTTTGATACCATTCAAGTGCCTATTAATAATCATTCATTAATCTTAGGCATTCACCTTTGATTAATTGAATTAAATTTACCTTTTCCATTTAATGAATAAACATATTATGGATTGATATCAAGTGCTTTTTGATACCATTCAAGTGCCTATTAATAATCATTCATTCCTCTTAGGCATTCACCTTTGATTAATTGAATTAAATTTACCTTTTCCATTTAATGAATAAACATATTATGGATTGATATCAAGTGCTTTTTGATACCATTCAAGTGCCTATTAATAATCATTCATTCCTCTTAGGCATTCACCTTTGATTAATTGAATTAAATTTACCTTTTCCATTTAATGAATAAACATATTATGGATTGATATCAAGTGCTTTTTGATACCATTCAAGTGCCTATTAATAATCATTCATTCCTCTTAGGCATTCACCTTTGATTAATTGAATTAAATTTACCTTTTCCATTTAATGAATAAACATATTATGGATTGATATCAAGTGCTTTTTGATACCATTCAAGTGCCTATTAATAATCATTCATTCCTCTTAGGCATTCACCTTTGATTAATTGAATTAAATTTACCTTTTCCATTTAATGAATAAACATATTATGGATTGATATCAAGTGCTTTTTGATACCATTCAAGTGCCTATTAATAATCATTCATTCCTCTTAGGCATTCACCTTTGATTAATTGAATTAAATTTACCTTTTCCATTTAATGAATAAACATATTATGGATTGATATCAAGTGCTTTTTGATACCATTCAAGTGCCTATTAATAATCATTCATTCCTCTTAGGCATTCACCTTTGATTAATTGAATTAAATTTACCTTTTCCATATAATGAATGAATATGCTATGGATTGATATCCAAAGCTTTAACAAAATAATTTATTGCATCTTAATATTGATCTTATGAATATAAATACAATCCTAACATTTAATTTAATCATATACCATATCCAAAATATCCTAAGATACAATCTAATTTAAGAGTTAATGAGTTTTTTAATAAAACCTCTGCTTCTTTATACATGTTTAAATACAATAAACATATTCCTTAATTTATTATTGAATGATTAACCTTTTCCAGCAGATGCATCAGCATTTTTAGATTAATTATTTAAAATTATATCATAAGCTTATATAGCCTCTTAATATCTCTCTAATTCTCTTAGACAATCACCTAATTACTTTAAATTTAAATTTACCATAAGATTATATATAGAGTTGATTAGATTAACTTAATTAAATAGCTTTAATGTAATATTCTAATGCTTGATTATATTTGTAAGTCTCTTTTAAACCTG